CTGGTACTTTTTCTAGTGAAAGTGCACCAGTCGAAGTGACAATTTGTTTTTCATCAACCTAATAATTTGTTTTGTAAATATTCATCGAAAATCAAAGAGCGTATTCAACCCGAATAAATAGCACAAACCTCTAAGCCTTTAAAAGGTGTTGGCTCTGATCCAGTAGCAATGATGATATTCTTCGACTTTAATGAAATTTTGTTACCATCCAGACCATCAACCTCAATTTCATTTGCGCTAACTAATCTACCATGACCTTTAACATAATCTACTCCATTCTTTTTGAATAAACTTTCAACACCCTTGGTTAGACCGGTAACAGCCTTATCTTTGGCCTTCATCATATTTTCAAGGTTTAACTTCACACCCGAAACTTAATTTAACGTAATAAATTTCATTCATTCATTAACAAGGACATAATATATTTTGGCTTAAAAAATTGCATACTAAGCGAATATTAACTTGCACGCAAGAATTCTGTACCAAGTTTTGTCGATCACAATCGACAAAATTTTTTTTTAAAAAAAAAATTCTATTTTAAAATTTTACCTATGAAGCAACTTTTCATGCCCTAACAAAAAATAAATAAAAAAAAGTCCTATAATTTTTGTATTTTGGTATAAGCTTTATCTTAAATCTTCATCTAACTCTAACCTAACCATAACTTAACTCTAACCTTAAATCAGCTTAATGCATGCCAATGTCGATCAATCTAAACTGAATGATCGGCACAGAATTCTTGCGTGCATTAATTTTTTATACAATTTACTCTCAATCATTTCTGAAATAAAATAAATGAATCTTTGGAATAATGATGACTCAGCCTAAAGTTTAGAATTTCTCTAGTCATTGAATATTTCACCGATCAAACAGAATGGGAATAATCTTTCAATGACTATAGAAATGGCCTTCAAAGATTATTAGTAAATTTTCGGTACATACCATCAATTCCTCTAGATTCTAACTCATGTGTAGCTTGATGATATATATGTGAATTATTCAACAAAGCTTTAGAAGGGATGCATCCAACATTTAGACAAGTTCC